CCATTTAATTAAATCCTCCCAAACTCAGAAGTTCTTTGAGGAGTGAATATATCAGCTTGGCTTCTTCTGAAGTATCTACACTTATCTACATTTATCTTGGTTGCCAGATATCGCTTTCTGCAAGGCAAACGTGGCACAACATGGTGACGAGGTTGCTCCGAACATATGGACTTTCAATCTATAGACCTCTGGATCCTTTTCTAAGTCCCCACCTGGCCACTACAAATACCTAAGAGCATCTCAATCATTCGCCGGAACTACTACTTGATGGAACATGGCTTCAATGTTCGACGTAAGGCCTATCGGTCGTTGCTGAAACCTGGTAAATACGTCTAATAGGTTATTGACTAAATCAGGTCCAGAATAAAGATTCTTGTTTAAAGACGTTCCAGCATACTGAGCTGCACAATCAAAAACTATTCTTAACTTTCTAGGCTTCTTGGAATGAAAGACAGGTTGATGAGGAAGATACCGAATTCGTCCTTTGGCGTGGTTATCGTTTACCTTTCCGGCATAACCTCGTTCTATATACCGAGTCATGGCGCTCGTAAAGTCTGAGAGCAACTTCGTGTCCCGAAGAAGTCGACCTTCCAAACAGCTAAGTCTACGTTCTGCTAATTTCTTATTATTAGGTAACTTGTGTTCGTGCCTCCAAGGCAGAGCTATTTGATAGTGCAATTTAACCTTTGCACTGAATTTGATACGGCACTGAGTGCTATACAATCTTCTACAGACATCGACGTAGTACAACTAAATGGATCTATGAATTCAGTTGAGTACAATTGTTCAAACTTATTCTCTAATTCCTCTTTATCTGAGAGGTAATTAAGTACACGTTTGCTTCCGTGACGTTACCGTGGGGACCGAACAATGTCCAACCTAATAGAGTCCTAACAGTAGACGGTATGTTCGTCTTTACAGTTCTTACCTCTTTCATCTCGTGCACGCTCGGTGCGTTACACCCAATTAACAGTTTGAAATTTTCGTTTTCTACTCTCGGAAAGCTTATGTCTTCTAAATGAGACCAAGACGCCATTTGATGCGCCGTTGGCACAGTCCTATGAACTGCTGGTAGTTTTGTTGACTGTCAACACTTTCTGCACTTTAACGGTTGACGAGAAATCTATGGAGTGCAATTCTACATCGACCTCTTTGGATATCAATGACGATCCATTGCTAAGAGTCTTTAAAGACACCATTTTTGGTTTTCCCTCGAGGCCTTATTCGTCAGCCAGATCATCAACAACGAGGGAAGTTTCGGACCAGCTATCTAGAGAGGCGCAAGTTTGAATAATCTTCTCACCGTTCTTTATCCATACAAACACCACTGCAAATGCTACTGGACTCTGTATATGCTTAACACATCCTTCAGTATAGAACTGTGTTTTAATGTGAGCATCACTACTGCCATCTCTCTGTTCTTCTTGCTTCCTCTGTAGCAGGGTATGGTGTCTCCAACCGCATCCTTTAACATCACATGACCTCGGCGATCGACAGTTTTCCGCTTCATGGTTAGCCTTCAGACAAACATTACATAACTTGTGTCTAAGAACGAATTCTTTCCTTTCTGTAACACTCTTGTCTTTAAACTTCTGACATTGATCTAATATATGATCACCTGAGCACATTAAAGAGGATGAACTACGTAAGTGAACATTGTCATCACTACTACTCGTATAAGATATCCTTGCTGTATTGCAATCTGCATTATTTCTCCTCTTTAAAACCACGATACCCCTATTGTCACTATTACTACGGCGGTTAACGAGCAACCCATATCGAGTATTAGCCATATCGACTTGTTCCTTTACAAAGGCAGTAAGGTCGGCGGACAGAGGCTCACGACCTCCTCTGATAATCTTATAAGCCGTCTTTAGCCACTTTTGTTGGACATGCACCGGCAATTTCAGAACCATAGTTTCGATAGTTCTGGTAGAGTTCAGGTCAGAAACGTAATTCATTTGTTCGAGAGTCAAACAGCACGCTTGTACTTCCCGGGAAAGTTTTCTTAAACCATCTGTTTGGTTCCTCCTCATATTGGGAAAATTTAACAAGTTGTCGATGAACTTGCGTGCTATCACGCGTTTTTGACCAAACGTTTTTTCTAAAAGTTTTAGAGCTTGATGATAGCCTATATCTGGTTCTAGTATAGCACAATGAAGAATTGCGGCTTTCGCTTCGTCGTCACAATATTGAACCAAGTAATTTAGTTTGGCTCTAAATCCAATGTCCTCACTTCCGATACATTCCTCGAAATTTCTAACAAAATTCCAGTAATTTGTCGTTGTACCATCGAATCTTAAGATTTCCTTATTTTGGTAAATACAGATTTTTTAATATAACATCCTCGCTTTTGCTTACCAATCGACCGAAACACTCACTGTTCTGGCGGCGTAACTTTCCTAGCTCAATTTCCTTTTCTAACTGAGTTATACGTATTCTAGCTAGCTTTAATTCTACCATGCTATTAGTTTCGGGTTTGTCCTTTCCAAGTTGGTCCTCATCATAAACTCCAAGATGATGCGGTGATAACTCTGGAACCTCATCGGAATCGTAGTATTTATTAGAAGTCATGTCATTAAACATATAGAAGTTTACTGTTCAAAACTTTGTAGTAAGCAATTTCCTACAGGGGCAACTTCAAGCTATTCTCTAGACTGTCGAATACAGACTCTTGGTTTCGCCAAAGTCAGAACAAGTAAGCTATTTTTCTTTATAAACTTTGTCTGTTTCTAAAACGTAAACTTACAACGTCAGTATGCAAATAAACAGTATAGTTTATTACATAGGGAAAAAGAGAGACATAATGACATACCGAACAGTAACTGGAGAATAGGAAAAATGAGTCAACAAGGCGAATATTGTTTTAGAATGGACAGAAAAATTGTGATTGGTGGATAAATCAAAGACATAGTCATACAGGGTCAAAGAAGTTAGCGTGGTGGTGAGCGTTTCACTTATCATTGGTGTGTTCGTTTATCGATCTCACTTTACAGGGGGTGGTGGAGTAGCCTTATATACGATCATTCCTGGAGGCACACCAAGTTCACAACCAAGAGTTTATCAATCTTGATGAATCCGTACAGTGGTCCGTGAGATCGTCTGCCATCTCGAGGTGTCTACAGGAATCTCACTGCTGAAATCAAGTATGACAATCGTATGCTGGAAGAATTTTCCCGCTCTACACGTCTCGCATTCACTCATATTCTAATTGTAGGGGACTTCAATCTTCCTAAATTTCGCCGAACATACGTATAATAGAGGTGAAAACTTAACTTAAGCTCAGGACTATTCGAAAATACGAAGTCCAAAACTAGTTGAGGGAACAGTCAGTCGCGATCATGCTCAGGCTGGGTAGTTACGAAGAAGAATACCAAGTTGACAACTTCTCCATTCTGGCCCTCCCAGTGAGCAACCATCAGGCCGTCATGACTTTCAGTTTTATCAGCGAAACTGAGCTAAGTCATCCTACAAACAATAGGCGCTGGAATTACAAACGGTTGAATGTATCAGACTTAGAAGACAGTCTATTGCAGGTGGATTGGGAAGTTCACCTTCAACTTCATGTGGATGCTTATTGGGATTTCTTACTGTACACGATCTTATGTGCGGCAAAGCAGCCTGTTCCTCTTATGGTTCTCAAAATCTACAAGAAACGTACAATCATCATGAACCTCACTCTTCGTTTGCCAAGCCGCCAAAGGCACTGCTGGGCAGGATACAAACGAACTGATAACAACTGCCCATATGGAAAATACAAGCAAATAAGAAACATATGCTCAAGGTCAATAAAAGAAAACAGGCTTCAGTACGAGATAAAGCTTATCGATAAATTTGTCTCCGATCGAGCAAGCTTGATCCACTATGCAGCCTCTCTTCGACAAGCCCAAACTGGAACTTCCGGATACAGTTCATTCTGCTATACTGAGGGAAGCAGTTACAATCTCGGCAGCACCGCTTAGCGTGATGCCATCAAACTCTACTTTTCTTGATTTATATACACGATCCTCCACAACAGTTATCGTCAAATTTGTTGCTGATGATGTAAAATTTTGGGGTGAGATACGCAACCGAGAGGGTATACTGGCACTTGTGGAGGATCTGACTCGAATTCGAAGTTGGGCAGATGTTAACAGATTTACTTTTAACACTTCAAAGTGTAAAGTAGTCCATCTGAGACATGTTACAGACTACAATTACAACTTAAGCAACTCATCTCTAGAAGTATCCCTCATTGAAAAAGATTTAGGAGTTTTGGTACCCTACGACTTGAAGTCTTACTCGAAGTGAGACAAAAATGCCTTCTGAGCAAACCTTGCACTGGTAACATTGAAGCGCATTTTTAGCCAGTTTGATAGAAGAACTTTCCACATAATCTTCAACAGTTTCATTCGTCCCATTTAGAATACGGAAACAGTATTTCCTCCCCCACTGTAAAAGGATAGGGACATTCTGGAGCGTACCCAACGGTGAGCCAAGAAATCAGTTCCAGGACTCAAATTCAAGCCTTATGAAGAACGCCTCTAATCACCATACCTTTACCAATAAGAGTATAGGCGTCTTAGGGGTGATCTAATGGTTAACTGTATCCTTAACACTTCTAGACATCCCCTTAAACACCTACTTAAGTCTAGCTCCAACGGAAACCTTAGGGGTAACAACGGGGAACTAGAGATATAACGCAGCGGAACTGACTGTAGACAGAACTCCAACTCCTTAATAGTTGTCAAATGCTGGAATTCGCTGCCGCCTGAGCCAGTCCAAGCGACTTCCCAGGAGTCCTTTAAGAGGCAACTTGACACATTCTTAATGACTAAAGACTGTACCTTACTATGATATACCAATTGGTATATCATAGTAAGAGGTTAACCTCTTTTTCATTTTTATCATTACTATACATAGACTCCTGACTGGAGGTATTGGTGATCCACTGCTACTAGATATGGAAGCCCATTAAGCGCATGCTTCTTCCATTCGTTCTCAAACTTTTGAAAGGCATACGGCGCTTCACTTAACGTCAAGGTCATCTCCGGCACTAATTTAAGTACCTCGGCCTGATGAAACGTCTTGGAAAAAACAAAAAGAGGCGATGGCAATATTGCTACAAGGATATCGATTCCAAAATCCAAGACGCAGTTAATCACAAAAGAATGTAAGTTGTAGTACAGATAAACTAACATGCCACAGAATTGACCACGACTTTGCACAAGTGTCAACACTAAGCAAAAAAAGTGAGTGACTTATCAAATCCGTTAACCGTGATTTAGACGATATCGTAAAGGGGGATAAGAATTCAGCGAAACCTTTCAACGATATCCCTAGCGCATGCGATCGAAGGTTGCATACCTCGCTGCCAAAATTGGAAAAGAGAAAACTTGCTGAAATTGATATTTGGAAAGGTTGTCCAGTTTATGTTCGTACTTATAAATATTCAGATGTACCGGCTCCAATGTCTTCTGGTAAAGGGTCCCCTGGAAAATACGCAGTCGATAAAGACCCAGGAAACCATTCACTACCTTGTCCAGGACAATCATACAATCCTAGTTTGCACGACCACTTATCCCTCATTTCACGACTAAAAACTATCGAGTCTGCAAAACGGAAACGAGAGCTTAAAACAGAGCGCTTTGTTAGCAGCCTAAGAGGTGTTAAATCGGTAAGAATGATGTTGGCACTTGATATTTTCAGCCACCAAACCCTCTTAAAGATATGGAAAAGTTCCTCCATTCATTAAATACTGAGTCAAATGTCACAAAAAATAACGAAGAAGTTGATGAGGTTTTACTGCCTCGCAAGAAGCCTAAAAAAGTGGACGCTCAAAAAAAAAGGAAAAACGATCTTGAAAAGTAAGACTTAGTAATTGGGATTACTTTTTTAGTTTACCTAAGTTGCTTAAGGAAATCAAACGTGAAAAGAAAACCAGGGAAAGGCGGAAGTTAGCAGCCAAAGCTAAAAATGAGACTCGTGATAAACTGAAAAAAGTTGATTTGAATATCCCGTTTCAATTACCAAATGAGATATCGTCATCATTAAGAAAGTTGTGTGTAAGTCATACCTTTGTGGTTTTGTAATCCTGTTGTTCTAATCATAACTAACTAAGTTATTTTACTAAACTGATAGATACTCAAAAACTCATCACATCGGGCTCCTAAGAGAGACACCGTTAGAAATTGATAAGCGTAAACCAATCCATAAAAATGCATGTTGCCGGTCAAAAACTTGATTCAAGGTGATGGATCTTTAGTGTGCTCACGTGGCACCCTGCAGTCTATTTTGCAAAAAAAGTATAAGATTTACAATTTGGTCATCCGTCATTTAAATCTACTGACCTACAGTTGAGTGCAGCGCGCAGACATATTCTGGAAAACAATAATTTGGTCTTCGTTTATTATTACTTGTATATCGTGATTACTGTTGTTACTTCCTGCTACTTCCCTATTGCAATGGGATGCTGATTGTTTAGTTCAATAACGATACCATGATACATTTGGTAGTTTCGTTTGAGAACCTGTGCATAGCAAGGTTTCAATACTGTAGCATTTGACCTAACAACGTACGACAAAGTCGGTTAGAGTTTTTTTACATTGTATTAATCCACCATTTATAAATATCTGCGTTCAAATTTAAACTATATGTGTATGAAAGCTTGTTTTTTTACTCATTTGTCGTGATCAAATCAGGTGAGTCAAGTGCTTAAATCAGCAATCCATTTCCATGCATACAACTAAACGCCAAATCACGTAGTCTAGTAGACGGTGTTTGTTATGTGCGGTTGTTAAGCAAAATCAGTATTTACGTTGAAACGGCGTTATGCATCAACTGTCGACTTGAATTAATATGAATGTATAAACTTTCCAATCTATTTTTATAAACTAATTGTGATTATTCTATTTTAGCCGGAAGGCCATTTATTTCATGAGGTTGAACGTCAGCGAAACAGATGTCCACGTGCTCGAAAAACGTTGGGTAGCAAACGCAAAAGCACACCATTTGAACGCAAGCGCTAAGTAAACATACCAATGTAATCATCTAGATTGCTTGTAAATATCTGTATTGTCCTATCCAGCGAAACCGGTGTTTTTTATTTACTGTGAAATGCATTAACTGTATTTCACGGTATTCAGTAGACCAGAAATTGCTAAACATACAAACCTGTTGTAAGTGTTCACCGTTCCTTGGATATATGTTAGTTTTTATGACAGCCTTTTTCTTGGAGAATGAAAAAATATCTTATAAGTTTGTGTTTGGGCTAATTTGACTCCTTACCGTTCATAAATTCAACAAAAATCACAGATGATACATTAGAGTTGGGCAGTTGTGGACAACTGTATACATATTTGTTATGGATCTGTCACAAGCAACTAGGATGTTCAGTGGTCCTCAACAACAATTGAACTAAAATCACTTGGGATCTGTGTAAACTGGGCCGTTGTTTACTTCAGAGAAAATCAATAAGACAAGCCTTTCTACATTGGATTAGGGATTATTGGTTAGATTAGCTGAAGTATTGAAAACAAGACCTTGTTCCGTGAGTTAAATCGAGTGTTGGTCAAAGTTTTATGAGGAAGAGTAAGGAATTTCTTGGAATTGATTACCATCGAATATCTATCTGTGAAAGACGTTATTTGTAGGACAGCTGATATATACAGATTTAAATCGAGGTATTTCAACGGGGTCATTACTATCTTAACTCTGATTATCAAGAGTTTATCATTCAATGTAAGGGCGGACAGGTTTTTGATGTGTTTTTATCTTTCACTGGTAAAACAAGCACACTGGTCGCTTTCTAATCAGGTACGGCTTTAGAACAACACATAAACGAGCAATATTGTTTTCAGTTAGATTCTTACCAGGATCTAAACTAATATACACTAGTATTTATATGCATTTATAAAGATATACCAATTTAGTTTATGAGTCAGTGACAACAGTGCAACAGGTTACATAAATAGACAGGTTAAACAAAACGTACACATTGATAGTATGACGGCAGGTGTACTAGTTGTGAGAATAATTAAAGCTTAAATTAATATCTCATCACAGGAATTAGGTCGACGATTTGGAAAAGTTGATGCTGAAATACCACCCACTGTAAATTATGGAAATCACTTAGTCAGAAGTATCCAAATAGTCTGACTGTGCAGTTTATATTCGAAAAAAGAAGTGAACTCGTAGATACACATAAGCGTGGCAAAACCAGGTGGCTTATCCTTTAGTTGTGGAAACTCCGCAATTCTGCTAGAAAAAAGTAGACAGGTTAGCCGCTGTAAAGATAACTGCTCTTGTTAAATCTATCTTGGACTGTAGCTTTTGTAAAAGAGGTTTCTGAGTAACCGTTGATATCACTACTTTTCTATTCACCATATACGAGAGTTTTGTCAGAAAACCTTTTGGATAGCCCATTTACATCAACAGGGTTCTTAAGCATATCCAACTAGCTCTACTTGCAGACATCTTATTATGACCACTGAATAATATCACATGACGAAACCACCAACCAGAATCCAGATTGATATGATTTAGTATCTCTGAGTTGACCAACTACACGTCCAACTAACACATGTAACCTTGATCTGACTGCTAAGTCCTTACTGGCCCACGGCTTCGTAGGTTCTCCTTCTGTTCTGCTCTTGAGTCCAGAAGTCAGGGGCCTGGCTTAACAAATATAACATCTCAAGCAGATGTGGTTTATATACAAGTATACCAGATCATATCATACCGTAAAGTGAAAAGTGACGACTGTACATAACCAAGCCAAAACGTAGTCGTGAATGGGGGAAACTGGCAATGTAGCAGTAGCTCATCAGTAAATCGAAAGCTTATGGTAAAAAAACATATATGGTCTAGTTAATTAAAAAGTATGCAGAAAAACTAATCAGTAGTAACCCGGGAAACATAGTTACAACTTTTACAATATCCATCTCGTTATAACTTGTCTAACTAGGTTTCTCATATATTCAAGGAATGTGTACTGGCCTGCTGAAGAATTTTCCCTATACACACTTATTGATAGAACCATCTTTTCTAAAAAATTGTCAAGGAAATGCAGTTTGTTGTCAAGTTTCTCCCTAGACATGAATCTGATTGGTGAGTTGCTGCTTTTTAAACATTCTGTTCAACAACAGTACAAGTATCATCAATGTGACAACAGAAAAAGTCAGGCCTGTTATGACTTTATAAAAAAATAAAGGACGTATGCTAATGCGTTATTGATTTTATGTCCGGCTTTTATCACGTGAATTATCCACTAATGGAAATACGACTTTTCCGACCTTAGCACTGTGACAAATCAATGACGTTCGACCAGCATGAGTAGTCTAGCGTCCTTATTGGTCATTTGTCAGCCTAGTCCTTCCAGTTGAGTCCAGGACACCAATAGCAGCTTCTATTATGCGAATCATTTATTTCAAGCACATTCTGTTTATAAGCCAGACCACATCACACCATAAAATAGAAAATAATATTTGTACAAGATCAAGCCAAATGTGGCTATGAGCGTGGGAGACAGTAATCATTAAACTGAGTATAATTCAGGAACAGTAAATCGTACAGTAATAATTTATAGGTCAAAATGAAGCTTATAATAAGATGAATATTGATATATACAATCTAGTTACTCAATAGTTAAACCATAAGAATATATGTAGAATAATCGTCCATTGATAGGTCCTGGAAGTTACCCGTCTTCACTGGGATATAATGTGGTGTGGTCTACTTATATTTATATAAGTAGTATATGGTGTGGGTCAGGCATAGAATGTATTTTCGCAGAAGACCGATGAGCAAAGAATTGAAATGAAGCGCAATCTTCTGGAAAATGCATGAGCAATGGAATAAAAGAAGAAACAGTGAAGATTGAAACAATTGGTTGTTAATTTGCAAATTGACTGTTTATTCTTTGGTAATCAGAATTTACTGAGATAGTCTGTAATCTTTGCTTAAATACATTCGATTGTCCCCAACTAGTGTTCTGTTCATTACAATAACACCTCCCCCTATTTTGAAGCATCATGGATAATAACGACTAGGATTTATTTTTATATGATTAGGTTTCCGCCTGATGCGATGCGACCGCTTTGGGAATGTTGTGCACGTCTTCTTGATATTCGGGTTATTTTTAATTTAATTATGGGACTCAGTTAATATGTTTAGTGGTACATCATGCTTTCTATCACTTCCTATCTCCCAATCCTATCTGGTTGACCGTATCAGGTTTGCATGTCGTACCCATATCTTTTGTCCAACTTTTACTTCATAAATAACTTTCCCTTTTCTTCAGACTATGATGCCAAACTTCCAGGTTGGCTTTACTCCATGGAAATCTCTTGCCATTACCGCTTGCCCCACACTAAACCTGGGTAAGGCACCATGTCTTTTGTTGAATTGCCGTTCCATTCGTTTATTCTTGCGAAGACTGGTTCTAGGTTTTGGCTTCATTTGTTCTATAGGTAATCTTTCTTCCAAAAATCGCTTCTGCCGGACTTTCTTGATTATTTGTTGCTGGGTTGGGGGTTGCGCGGTAGCTTAATAAGAATCGTTGAATTATATCTTCTATTTCTCCTTCCCCTTCGGCTTTAAGCAATGCTCTTTTCAAAGTGTCCACGAACCCTTCGATTAAACCGTTAGACTGTGGATGGTATGGGGGTGTCTTAATATGCCTAACGGCATTGGCAATGCAGAACCTCGAAGATTCAGCAGAGGTAAACTGTGGTCCATTATCCGACAGCAAGATATCGGGACACAAAACAGCTGAATACTTGCCTCAGTTTCTTCACAGTAGCTTGTGTTGAGACAAATTTAATGTAGTGGATTTCTGGCCACTTGAAGAAGGCATCGACGATTACCAATAACTGTTTTCCGTTTATAGGACGGCCGAAATATACATGCACTCTTGACCATGGATTTGACGGTGTTCCCCAACTCTGTATCTCCGTCTTACGAGGAGCTGTTATGGCTTTTGCACATGAGGAACATCTCGCAACATATTCTTCAATCTGCGCATCAATATTCGGCCAATACACATAACCGCGTGCAAGTGCTTTGATCCGGGCTACCCCTGGGTGTGCAGTTCTAACATCACCTTCCGGCGTAGGCTTGTGGGTACAATGAACCGATTTCCAAACATTAAGCACCCGTCCACGAACGGTAGGGAATTTCGTCGGTGAGCATACTGTTCAATGTTTTTGCTGTCTATATGAGCTGGCCATGTTCAAAGTAACTTATAATCCGCTTCAGCTCACGTTCTTCTTGAGTGTAACGTTTAATGCCTTCAGCGGATAACAGTGTTGCTTTTATAGGAACTTGTAGATATATACAATCTAGTTACTCAATAGTTAAACCATAAGAATATATATAGAATAATAATCCGTTAATAGGTCCTGGAAGTTACCTGTGCTTACGTCTTCACTGGGATATAACAAGGCCTATCGATAACCTCTTTGAGAAGCCCATTCTCTAGCTTTGGAAGAAAAAACCAGCTGAGGTAGGACCCACGGTTAAAGCCTTCTCTATTCTATCAATTCTATGTGTTACTAAGGTCTAAATGAACGTTTGTTGTACATTTTAAAATCCATTGAGGCTAATCTCGAAATTTTCAATGTTGATTTGTATGTCAAGTGGCTGTTGACGCAAAAAGTCGATTGTCACAGCTTACGGTACGTTGGTAAGCAAGGAAATGAAATCCAGGTATATTATCTGTTTTCGGTTTACATCCATACGAACACTTTATATTTGAAGTCGAAAGCGTCTTCAACGCTTCTGTTGACAACCAGGTAGTTTAGAGAATTTACGATTCAAACCAGCCACTTTTCAGTCTTATAGTATGCAGAAATATGTTTTAAACTTTACGTTAGAGTAGATCCTGAGTTGTGCACTTTGGGTAAGCAATAGACTCATGGCGTGTTCGATTCCATTGACTCAAATGGATCATGGATTATTATAGTCGTCATATTAGTATCCTTGACGTGGCTGAGTCTTTGAAGTTCAGTCGCATCGTTTAACATCGCATTCATTTTGTTATATCGGGACGAAGAGTAAATGAATGGTAACTGCTGGGAATTATTTATGTATTATTATTAATATATTCTTGTTGGGAAGTTATTAAGTAACTAGATTATATATATATATATATATAGTTACTTGTATTTGTATCCCTTTTATCATAAGCTTTCATTTGACTTACTGTCTACTGTTATACGATTCTTAATTTACTCCCACTTTATTGGCCACAGTCTCTCATAGTCAGAGCCACTTTTGGTTCGATCCTGTATAATCATTATTTCACATTTCATGGTTGATGCGGTCTAGTCTGCTTGTATATAAACCAAGTATGTTTGAAAAATGACATACCGTGGAGGCTGGGATTGTGTTCTGGACTCAATGGGCAGGGTTGGGCGAGAAGGACCGATGAGAATTCGGAGTTGACACAAAGCTGCTAGTGCTGATTGTCGGGTTTAGTACAGGAACAAGGTCATGTAAGTCGATATTCTGAGTGGCGATTTTGTCAAGTGATAATCGACAAGGGCAATAGTCATAACAGATTTTATCGATACGATTTGGTTTGTTCATGATAATTAGCCCTCCTCTTCTGTCTGACTTGCTTATGATCAATGTTATCCGTCTTAAACTTACGTGAAGGACATCGGTGTTGTTTGGTAAGTGGAGATTTCATGACATTTATCACTTGTACTATTGTCAAATGTCAACCATCGTGGACTTGAATCTCGTTGGTTCCTCGAATGTAGTCGGGATCAAGTCTGTTGTCGCTGAAAAGTTCCCAAATTGCACGTCTGTATGTAGTTCATCAGTTAGATGACCATAGTTTCGAAATTTTAAACCAATCGATAAAGCTTCAATGATAACTATAAGTATTCAAAATGATTCGCTAACTAAGAATTCCAGAAATAATTCAATATAAGGAAGGTAGAACGAGATGAACGTATTATATTTGTAATTCGTAATAAGCGCGTAGTCAAGTACAAAGGAACCATCAGTCAGTACAAACACCATAGATTTTAAATACACAAGATTCAACTCAATACTGGAAAAATTATTAACATGTTATTTGAGGTCAACAAAGGACTTTCTTTTTAGTTTTTGACATTCGAGCGATTCCATTAACTTCGTACCTAACGCCTCAAATCTACTTTTTGCCACCGTGTCGACATAGTCCATAAATCGTAAATTTATTCCCAGTGGTGAGCTTTTGACGATATATTTCCTTTGGAAAAGACTTCTTTATATTTCATCGCTATCACTGACTCATAAACTGCCTAATATTTTTATATATGCATGTAAGTACTACTGTATATTGAAACAAAGCCTGATGAGGGTCTAATTAAAAACAATATTTTTCGTTAAGATGTTCTAAATCACAATAAGGGGATTTATAGCATTTCAATTAAAATTTGTATGATAGTAAGTTGGTGGCATACACTTCAGATAAAAAAATCTATTCTTGCGATAAAATCTAAACTACTATTACGTCCGTCAAATTTGTTTTTAGAATGCTAATGATGATAAAACTTGTGCGATTGGGTTTAGTAAGCTCTTATATTTGTTGCCTTCATATTCAAATGTGATCGGGTACCTTTCAACATCTTAGATCTTTGAGTACCTTTAATACTTCCAAGTTGCAAAATGGATTGATACTCCCAACCAGCTTATTTGTTCTAGACACAGTGTGCATTCATCTTCCCAAATAGATGCTTTATACCTGTTGAACGTATTTGATTGAGGTTACTAGGATACATGTACAATCTAGTGAAACGTTAACGAAAAGACAAATTTTCCCACGACGTTTTACCACCAATTCGATTGAACTATCTACGACTAAGGATCTTTAGAAGAACAAACATGGAACACTTCTAATTATCACAGAGAGAACCAATTCACAACGCTGCACTAAAATTTGTCTCAGATAGGACACATAAATAATGAGACTCCAATCTTCCTAGAAGCTGACTATTATACTATCTGCATAAACGACCGAACGTTAAGATTAGTAAGTGCACATTCATAGATCTGAACAGCACCGTTTTACGTTTTGGTTACGAACTCAGTAAGAACGGAAAAATAAATTAAATACTATTTCTTTCTCATGTTGAAAAGAGAAGGATGGACTTGCAGAAGAAATCGCCGACTGTAATGAATATATTCATGTAAGATTTTTCTTTGCCGCAATATGCATATGTTTTTCTAGTTTATCTGTAAAAGAATATTTTATATGATATGAAACTTACATATTTTGTGCTTCCCACGTATAGGGAATTTAATTAAAGTTTCACGTGGATCAGCGCAAATAAATACATACGAACTTTGTGATGGTCCATCAGGTTGCTAATGTATTAAAAATAAATAAAAACTCATTATATCACAAGCTTATGACTCATTTAAGTAAAACTAGGTTGACAGGAAAAATGAAATAATGTGAAACTCACTACAACTACAATGATTGTTGTGATCAAAACAAAAAAGTAATCGGTCCAAACAAATGCCACAAGCAGGATAATGAGAAGTTGGAAGTAAACATTTAGTACATATAAAGGATAATGTCTGTCTGTACCTCCGAAGTCGATTCTCAATCATAATGTATGTCTTCAACCATTGGTTTCTGTAGTTTGAAAATCATACTAAGATAGCTCATACTTGCCAACATTACTGATCACCATTGTATAAATTCATCGGATAATAATATATTCTTTGGTGGAAGTAACTTTTTATAACCTATTTGCGCTGACTGTAACCGTAAGTTTATCCAAGCTGACATGGAGCTAGTTAACCTTAGCCGTAAGAAGGACGGACACATTAATTTTGATTAATAACAAATAGAAATTTAGCTGTAATAATTATATGTTTATGAGGTTATCGACGAGATTGATCAATGAGATTTATTGTAAGTTGTTCACAACTTCTATTCATCAACACGATTTTCCTGATAGATACTCTTCAAAAACAAGTTTGCAAAAAATAGGAACATTTTACATTAGACAAAACGTAATGTACTCTAATGGCCGGTAACAATAGATTAGCAAAATAAAAAACTTGGAATAGCTTGTTTACAGTTCAGTGAAAAACATACTTCACTTTTTGCACCATATACTTCCGGCAAATTAACGAATAACATTATTCATAAAATCACATGAATCGAACGCGTCCATTGCTGCTATCTTGAAATGGTGGTTGTGCCTGCTAATCGTGATGAATCAACTGAGCTATACTGGCTGGATCAATCGTTCTTCAAGGGCTTACTGTGCCAGACAGGTTAGTTGAAGCGCAGTAAGACCAAAAGCAGCAAACCCAAGGTTCGAACGTGAAGTCGTGCTGCTTACTGTGTAAAGATGTGACGGCAGGTGTTTCCTCTAGACAACCAGCATAACAGCGATGCTGCCTTCCTACAAAGAAAGGATCCACCTTAAAAATGCACACCTCGCCTTATCCCACGGATTTTCGTTTCCGGGGATAAGGTCTCAATAAATACGGACCTAACAAGAAATAGTGTGTGGCTGGCCTCAAGCAAATATCACTAGGGCGCTGCGGTCACGCTCTCAGGTCACTAATACCACCCCTAACCCAATTTTCCTTTCAAGTACCTCCAGAAGAATCCTTCCACGGAATGGGCAGCCGGGAAGTGATAACTGCACTCAAGATCACTGTATTCATAATCGATCCCTTTCTTCAATTCCCATCATTTCTCCTACATCGACTTTCAACTCTAAACTTCCCCTTTCGGCTTCCTCCTCAAGTATCACCATAACCAACGCACGTTCATCTCTAACAAGCACTAATTATAAGTATAATGAGAGACATCATCTAACATGGTGACCCCCTGCACCAAACCAACGATGGGCTCAAACAAACCACATTACCATATGTCATCGTGGAGGAGTTTTGGTAGAAAACTCCAGCTCGTTCAGGAATACATGTTCAGACTCTGATCATGCTCTAATACGAGCGCGCATTTGCTTGCGCCTCACTGGACGAAGAAAAACCACATTAAGAATACCCATTAGAGTTGAACACAACGATGATAAAGCCAAAGTTGAATATTGAGAACAACTGAAGTCAATCTCAAAAGTGAGGCTGAATCAGATGTTGCTTGGAAAGATATACAGACAGCTGTGGAAACAGCAGTTACATCTATTGGTGATTTAAACTATAGGGTTACGAAAAACAAATTGGTTTCTACTAAGTCTATTGCACTGATGCATTCTCATACACTCATCCCATCAGGCTATGAACACGATGAAGAGCGTAAGCGAATCAGATCTAGGTTAACCACAAGTCTACGGAACGACCGTGAGCAGTGGTGGGCAACGAAAGCAAAAGAAATGGAAAAGGTAGTGGCTGCGGTCATGCCCTCAGGTCACTAAGACCACCCCTAACCCGATTTCCTTTTCAGGTACCTCCAGAAGAATCCTTTCACGGAGTGGTCAACAGGGAAGTGGTAACTGCCCTCATACCTCTAACAACACTCAAGATCACTGTATTCATAATCAATCTCCTTCAATTCCTATTATACCTCCTACATCGACTTTCAACTCTTAACTTCCTCTTTCGGCTTCCTCCTGAAGTGTCACCATAGCCAACGATTCTAGTGCGCAAAACACTGTCCCAAGTCTACTAAAACCTCACTCCAAACTACACATTGGAGCCTTCAACGTACGCACTTTATGTCAAATCGGCCAACAGGCCTACTTGGCTAAGACCCTAGAATCTCGTACCATTGATGTATGTTGTGTCTCCGAAACACGCATACAGGATCCTAGTGTGGTCATTCACTTGACCTCACCTAGCTAAGACGGAGAGCCGACGAGATACACCCTCCGTGTATCAGACGACCCGATGGCTAGTTCTCGTGGACTTGAAGGTGTAGATATAGCACTAAGTACAAAGACAGAACAAGCACTATTATAATGGATCTCCGTTAACGGTCATCTATGTGCTGTCCGACTAAACGGCTCCATAAGAACTCGGAAGGATAGGGACACACATCATTGCCTTTTCGTCATTTCTGCCTACGCTCCCACTGATCGCAACCCGGTTGAAGTGCAAGATGACTTTTACAGAAAGCTCTCTGAATTTCTCCAAAAAGGCTAAACACTCAGACATACTACTCGTAGCAGATGACTCTAATGTTTGAACCAAACAGAAAGACATTTAGACGGGTATTTTGTTATTCCGTCTCAGCGAACAGATAATGATGATCATCTGCTGAAACTGTGTTTAGACAATCGCTTATCTCTAACAAGCACTAATTATAAGCATAATGAGAAAAATCGTATAACATAGTGGCCCCTTGCACCAAACAAAGGATAGACTCTAATAAACCACATTGCCATAGGTCATCGTATAAGAATTTCAGTATAAAGCTCCAGCTCGTTCTGGAATACATGTTTAGACTCTGATCATGCTCTAATACGAGCACGCATTTGCTCGTGCCTCACTGGACACAGAAAAACCACATTAAGAAAATCCATTAGAGTTGAACACAACGATGAAAAAGTCAAATGTAAATTCCAGGAACAACTGAGTTCACATGTAGGCAGTTATGTAAACGAGGCTGACCCAGATGATGCTTGGAAAGATATACAGACAGTTGTGGAAACAAAAGTAACATCTATTAGTAATTTAAACCGAAGGGTTCCAAAAAATCAATGAATTTCTACTAAGTCTATTGCACTGATGGATTCTCGTAAACTCATCCCATCAGGCTATGAACACGATGAAGAGCGTAAGCGAATCAGATCTAGGTTAACCACAAGTCTACGGAACGACCGTGAGCAGTGGTGGGCAACGAAAGCAAAAGAAATGGAAAAGGTAGTGGCTGTAGGTGACACAAAACAACTCTTCAGACTAATAAAAGAAACCGGAATTAAGAAGTCAAGTGTAAGTTAGATAATCTCGGAAAAAGACGACACTCATATCCACTGTCAACCTAGACGTTTAGAACGATGGGTGGAACACTTTAGATAACAGTATAGCTGGCCTTCAGCTATCCTACAGTTACCCACCATTCCCAAACAGTCTGAGTGGAACATTGAAGTAGGCCCCCCCCGACCCTACTTGAAGTTTAAAAGGCTATAACTAGTCTTTATTTATTTAAACACGTATATATTGGTACAAAAGGGCACCAGATACATATGCGCCACACAAAATAATGAAAGTAGGAAGAGAAGGGATGAAAAGATAAGGCGGACTGAAATGTACAACCAGAAGACTCTTTCAGTTAGGAAAGTTAGAACCATTCTTTATGTAGAAAGTAAAAGAAGGTTGCAGCAGGATCGCCACTGGCTTCTATTTTGAGCCATATCTGATAACGTCTCTAGCCACTGTGTTGCACCATCTCTCGGACCCCAAGCAGGGAGTCGTGAAGGACCAACAGAAGCTAGCCCTTTGCAGCTCTCTTTCATGCCACGACACCATGTCATACACTGACCTCCTCTCCGCTTTCTCCAACCAGTCCCAGAGTCGGCAAATAATGCACGACGTGGAAGTCTCTGGGACGACATTCGTAAAACATGTCCAAGCCACCGAAGTCGGTGTTTCAAGATGGCGACACCAATTGAATTATCGTCTCTGCGCCCGAACACACGATGCCGAACCTCTGCATTACTAACATGGCGTTGCCACTGGATGTCAGCAATCCTTCGGAGACAACGATGATCGAACACAGAGAGACGTCTAACATCCTCAACTCGGAGAGTCCAGGTTTCACAAGCATAGAGCAAAACTGCTCTCACCGACGCGTTGTAAATCCGACCTTTTACAGCCAGACTAACATCACGAAGGCACCAAAGATGGCCCAGATTGGCATAAGCCGCTCTGGCTTTCATTATACATGCATCAATCTCATCACTCACGCCACCACCAGCACTTATATAGCTACCTAGATACACGAATTTCTCAACTACTTCAATCTCCTCACCATCCAGGGTGAGTACAGGATGAGAATCCTGCCAGTCTTGTAGGAGTACTTTGCACTTGGAGGATGCAAAGCACATGCCGTACTTGCGGACACTGATTGCCAGCTGATTAAGTGCAGATTGCATGCCTTGGGCATTATCGCACAGTTGTTGGCCTGCGATAAGTATGACGGTGTTCTAACATTTGGCGGAGGGTGAAGATGTGATCAATGCATCCTCGACCAGAACGAAAACCAGCCTGCTCCTCGCGAGTCAATCGTTCTCGGGTTTTAAACAACCTACGAAGAATGACAGAAGCCAATAGTTTGGACGCAATCGAAAGTAGACTTATCCCCCGACAGTTGTTACAGGAACAACGTGAACCCTTTTTAAAGATAGGGACGACTATTGACTCATTCCATGATGTTGGAACACTTTCTAGCTCCCAATCCTTTGCAAACAACGCAGTCAGTTCCTTGGCCAGAAAGTCACCACCATCTTTAAAAAGAGCTGGAGGTAAGTCATCTGGGCCAGGCGATTTGTAGCGCTTCAAGATTTGGAGTTCCTTGCGGACTTCCGCCTCGTTTGGTGGATCAGTCGTCACCGGCCATGGAGGGCAGGACAAACTGGTTGATGTTGCCGGAGCAGCAGGCCAGTTGAACTGCCCTTCGAAAAATTCCGCCCATCGTACAAGACGTCGACAGATGTTAGTGACTGGCATCCCGTCATCCTCGTAGATTGTTTCACTCACACCAGACTTCTTGCTGCCAGTGGCTCGGATGAGTTGGAAGAGCTTCCGGCAGTTACCAGATGCAGCTGCTGCTTCCATCTCATTAGCACGCTCCGACCACCAGGCTTCCCGGTCCTTACGCAAGCTTTGCCCGATTTCATTACGTAACAGCCTTCGTTTGTGGTCAAACTCACGGTCACCCGGAGTAGACCGACGGGCTTCCATCAGTTGTAAGGAGCCAGAAGAAACCCAGTGCTTGTAAGCGGGACGTTTCGCGAAGCCGCAAGCGGCTTTACTCGCCATTTTCATGGCGTCGTGAACATGCAACCAATGCTCATCTATACTTTTCGGTGGGGTGGTAGCTAGCCTAGAGGCTAGCTCCGCTCGATACTTACTTGCAACGGAAGTTGCAGCCAGTTTACTAATATCAATCCGTTGGTGGTGGTCAATCCTTCGGCCACTGAAAAGTAAGGTGAGATTGGCGCAGACCAGGGCATGATCAGACTCCAGATAGGTACTCCAAAAGGAGCGGCAGTCTTGTACACAACCACGCCAGCGGTAGCTCATCGCGATGTGATCAATCTGAGTCCAGGCTTGGGATGCAGAGGGAGGACGCCAGGTGGCACACCGGCGATGACTGTGCCGGAAGTTAGTGCTGGCCAGAAACAGGTTGTGGTCTGTGCACAGTTGCAGCAAACGGTCCCCGTTATCTGTCCTGCATCCAACAAGTCCCCATCGGCCACCTAGACGACTCTCTTCTGTGCCTAGACGCCCGACCTGTGCATTCAAGTCTCCGGCTAGTACTACAATATCTGTCGAACGCGCTTTCTGGAGAACTGTTAACTGATGGTAAAACTCATCCTTGATTGCATCCGGGCTGCAATCTGTCGGGGCATAGGCGGAGACACCGTTCATCGCGTCGGTTTCTTCTCACTTTGACGGAACTTTCTAATCTAACAGCACATAACCGACTGTTAATGGGGATCCAGTCGATTAGTGCTGCCTCAACACTAGCGCTTAGTTGTCCGATCTGCATTAGTGTACGAACGTTGAAGGAAGCCAGCTTGAACGGCGTACGTGGTTTCAGAAATACTGCTTCAGTATTCGTAATCGGTGGAAGCATTCACTTTCAACCAGACACTGACTGGAGATCGTTTAGATAGGACAGAGTTTCCACCATGGGCGAGCTACTACATAAGTTGGAAAGGAAGGATACACAATTTGGGAATAAAGGGAGTGAAAAAGTAACGTAGTAAATAATAATAATAATAATAATAATAATAATAATAATAATAGTGTAAATTGTCTTGCTTCTAGTATGAGCGAGAATAGTATCGTCAATAGAATTCATCATTTCATTTATTTGTGTGTGGGCTGTGATACTGCCCGGGTGCCCAAACCGAAGCAGGTGGTTTTCTTAGGGGGCCACACCCCGAGCCTTTGACCTGAATATCTGATCCACAAGGCAGTGGAGCATAGTGAGGAGATGCAGTTCCATGGTAGCCGGTGACCAACAATAGGTTCATACGCCATTCATTCCATCAGGATCCTGGAGCCCATGTGCACCATTGGTTTGGAATCAGGGTTTTCCAACTCCCCTAGGTGGACCCTCCGTGTCCACCAACCCGGTTAAAGCGCCGGACATTCGCTTTTCGTCCTCTCACTTTCGTAAACAACACCCCCGCCACGAGAAGGCAGTGAGTAGGACTTCCCTAGCAGAGGCTATATATTCGCGTGGCCATGTGAGAGCATTTCGAGAGGGAGAGTGGACTCTCCCCACTCTCGACCGTACCAGGGCATTTTGGGGTATAAATAATCTGAAACGAGGAAGAGCAGCTGGTCCAGATAGATTGGCTCCAGAGGTCCTTAAATATGGTGGTCCGATTTTAACAATTAGGTTGACTAATATTTTAGCTAAAATCTCGAAGCTGATTGTAATCCCATCCGACTGGTCGCAATCACTGATTGTCCCAATATATAGGAAGGAGTCAAAATCATCCTGTGGTAACCATAGAGGGATTAGTTTGACTAATATAGCATGTAAAATATCAGCCTCAATGATTATGGAGTGCCTACTTAAGACTCGTGAACTGCAAACACGAGAAAATCAGGCTGGCTTCAGACCTGGTCGTGGCTGCATCGACCACATATTCACCATTCGTCAAGTTATAGAGCACGGACATGCTTATCGGCGTCCGACAATGGTAGCTTTTCTTGACTTAAAAGCAGCATTTGACTCTGTAGACCGAGAGGTTCTGTGGCAGTGTCTGTCATTGAAAGGTGTACCTCAGAAGTACATAAACATTGTGAAGGCTCTTTACTCGAACACTACCAGTCGAGTGAGAGCTTATGGCGAACAGTCATATGATTTTACAACCTCAAGTGGTGTCCGACAAGGCTGTCCATTATCCCCATTTTTGTTTAACTTCATTATAGTTGCTGGAAATAACACTCTCTTCGACTGAATTTACAGGAATTGATCTCCTACCAGGAGCTCCACTAAGCGACTTTGAATACGCAGATGATATAGTCCTGTTTGGTGAAGACGCTGATAACATGCAGAGTCTTCTGATAGAACTGAGTAACAATGCCATGATATTTGTAATGCGTTTCTCCTCCTCTAAATGTAAATTGTTACTCCAGGACTGGTCTGCATCAACACCTGAAGTAAGGATAGGGAGTGAAGTAGTCGAATGCGTCGACAACTTTACTTATCTTGGAAGTCTGATCAGACCTAATGGGTTGGTGTCTGACGAAATCTCTGCACGGATTCAGAGAGCTCTTTTGGCTTTTGCCAACTTACATCTGCGTGACTATCGTAACCAATGGTCGGAAACTGGGTGACATGGCTCAAAATCGATCACAGTGGTGTAGGTGTATAAACTCTTTCTCTTCCCTCCAACCGTGAGATTAAACTTGTTTTACATCTTTCCACCAACAAATTCTTTCTTCCTGTACTATGTCCCTATACATATGTAGTCTTTTATTAGGTATAGCTAACATTGAGATAACTGCTTCTATGAATTTGTATTCACCTTGTTGTACTGATGAGTGATGGCAATTTGGTAGTCCTATGTTGTAGATAACTAGAGGAAATCTATTTCTGTATTGGTAAAAAAAGGACCAGAAAGTCAAAAATTCAGCTGAACCATGGTTGGCAGCTGTTATGATAAGATCCAATGATACGAACGTTGATAAATATAAGTATCATCCAAATCTTGAGGAAAAAATGGAGTTAAAGAAGACAAGATTACGATAAAGTAGGAGTAAAGTATTCATTAATTTTTATGGATGAAATATTAGTCTATTGAGCTTAACATACAATAATTAACCCAGATAAATAAATAAATAAGAAACAAAACAAAGATTGAAATTAAATCCTAAACTCATAAAACCTTACTTTTTCACGATATTCTTCTTGTGTTATCACATCAACAATATTAACTCGACCAAGAAGACAACTTGTAGGATATGATGTTGGCATATCTGATTTGGGGACACCTGTAGTTAATAATAGTAATAAAAATACAATTTTGGAATATTTGAGCAATATCGTGAAATTAAAATCTGTGATTTCATGATTCTGCATTATACAATTATAGTATAAAACAAAATAATGTACATAGATGACTAATTACATCAGATGCTGAAAGTTTAAATGAAATTGAAACCATGAGCTTAAATGTTAAAGAAAAAAGAGCTTTAGTTACTGTCGTTTAAAAATGAGATCACTTGAAACAAGAAGATATTATCAGTAAAAATAAAGGTCTCTTTAGGCGAATTATTTTTCGAACTGTATAAGAGGGAAATAATAGATCTAAGGCTTTAAAGAATATCAGTGACAAGTTTAGAACGGCGCCTTTACAGTGAGGCATTATCTCCACCATGGGAAATAACACTGACTGAACTTGAATGAAACATCCAAGTCTTTGTCAAGATTAACAAAGAGATCCAACGTTTTAGAGTGAAGACACATCAATTCAGGTGAGTGACATTTTCAAATTGTTTTTCTATATCAGACTAAACGTTAAACTTATTTGAATGCTGTACATAAGTATCTATTCGACACTAATGCTAGAAGACGGGGATAATGATTGCAGTTGAAAGAAACTCAAGTAGTATATGAATCCAAATGAGTTAACAAAGAATTACCATTTATGATAATGATTTACGAGGCTTAAGTTATTAGTATTTAAATTCACTTTAAATTACTCCAATACATTCATTAACCCTGTGTCATATTAATGAAACGCCAGTTATCACGTTTAGTTTCAGTTTATTCGGAACTACAATGATCACACATAGTCATAAAAAATAAATTGTTGAAAATACAGAAAATGTATACTATCTCACATATAATGAATTCTAATCTGAGTGAAACTCCGTCTATAGCTATTCTAGGGTTACTACCGGTTCCAAGACAGCGTGAAGAAGGAAGGTTGGATGTAGGGTCAGCAACCCCATCCCTTAGAGAACAACACTGCTAAAAAACGCTAACTAGAAAGGAAAATTTAAACGATTCAAACTCTGCTCACCGAATTCAAGGGTCTTCATTCAGAAGAAATATGACGCCTAACGAAGGAAGCCGAGATTCTTCGAAAGTTATGAAGCCAACACCCCTTCTAACAACCAGATACATGAACTGTACAGACAATGTGGAAGACCAGGACGACTAATCAAGTAGCTACGAAAATGAGGAGATACAACTTGACAGTGCTCGGAATCAGCAAAATCCATTGGACCCAAGTTGAACAGTAAAGGTTAGGTACGGGAGAGATGCCACTGTACTCCGATCACAAAGACGGAAATTCTCCACACACTCAGGGAGTTGCTCTGGTGCTGTCCAAACATACACAAATACACTTATAGGATGGGAATCTCATGGATCCAGGATCATCAAAGTATACTTCAAAACAAACAAGGAGGGAATCACAATGAATTTTATTCAATGTTACGCACCCACCAAAAATAGCAAAGACGACGATAAAGATCAGTTCTACAAGAGTCTGCAATCGATCATAGCGAAATACTCAGGGAAGGACCTGACAATCCTGATGGGAGACAGCGGAAAAGCTGCAATAGAAGGAAATGTGAGACAACTAAATGAGACGACGAAGAAACTGGCAGGGAAATATAGTAAAACAGAGAGACCGGTGAAGGACAAAGAAGGCAAGCCAATCACTGAGATTGGAGAGAAGAGTAGCAGATGGATGGAACACTTTGAGGAACTCCTGAATAGATCAGCTCCATTGAATCTACCGGATATCGAAGCAACACACAAGGAATTCCTATGGACGTCACTACACCAACGATCGAAGAAATCAAGATGGCCATCAGACAAATCAAGAGTGGGAAAGCAGCAGGACCTGATAGTATACCAGACGAAGCACTGAAGCCTGATTTAGAAGTAACTGAGAGTATGCTTCACCCTCTATTCAGGAAGATTTGGAAGGAAGAACAAGTGCCGATGGACTGGAAAGAAGGACACCTCATCAAGATACCAAGGAAAGGAGATCTGAGCAAATGTAAGTACTATAGAGGCATCACACTACTGTCAGTACCCGCAAAGATTTTCAACGGTGTTGTTGAACCAGTTGAAAGACTCAGTAGACGTCCAACTTCGAGATCAACAGGTCAGATTCCGTAAGTACCGGTCGTGCACAGACCAAATCACGACACTACGGATCATCACTGAACAATCAATTGGATGGAACTCGTCACCATACATCACCTTCCTTGACAGTGAGAGAGTATTCGATAGTGTGGATAGGAGAACATTATGGAAACTCCTTCAGCATTAAGGAGTACCTCAGAAAATCGCCAATATCATACGGAATTTATACGACGGACTACAAGGCAAAGTCGTGCATGGAGGAGAGCTGACAGACACATTCCGAATGAGGACCTGAGTCAGACAAAGCTGCCTACTCTCCCTCTTTCTCTTTCTTCCGGTGATTGAATGGATTATGAAGACCTCAACATCTGACAGGAAGCAAGGAATACAATGGAAAGCTCTCAATCAACTAGACGATTTGGACTTCTCAGATGACCTGGCCCCTCTATCTCATGCACACTAAGGGGTGAGGTTACATCCTTTTTTGAAGTTATTGAATGCCTTTTCTGCTTCCCTGTTAGAACGTTTATTGTGTATTAGTTAAGAAAGTTTCACTTCCACGTACGAGTTAATTATCATTCTCGTACCTATCGGTGAAATAACATAGAACAACCTTACTTCTATTATGATTAACAGTAATCAGAGTTGAATTATGCATTTACTCGTCACTTATTTAGTACTCACTAATCTTCATTTGATAATTAAGATAATCAATATTTTTCACAGTTATGCTCACAGTAATGATCTTATACTACTGCTTTTTATGTATAATAACAATAAGTTTATTTAACGTTATATGTCTAGTACAATACGGAATTCTGGTATGCAAAAAATAATTAAGTATAACCGATAAATAAAAAGACCTATCCACAGGAACCCTACATTTACATATGAGTATTTACATTATCATACCCCCAACTTGGCTTAGTAAGACTGAGAATTAGTGCTCTCTTAATGGCATTAAGTGAACATATGCACGTATGACAGATGACGGGAAAAGTGGAAATGGTTTTGAAAAATTACAAAGTAAAGATTTAAGATTTGTTACATGAAGTTAATTAATAGGCTGACCAGTGAAATACAACTTAAAATTGCCATCAGAACAACACACTAGGTACTTATATTGATAGCAATTTATAAATCTAAACCTGTGTATCCCTAATATAGAATAAATATGAATGTAATTAGTACCACAATATCATCTTCAGAGAGTATTTTAAGTCTCAGACTTAGTAATTGAATATTTTGCACTGCATACACAACATAAAATTCAAAGGAATTTAAAATATTACCAGCCTTTAAATATTTATTCTCGATTTCAGTGATTTCCTCTGGATCAGTTTTATGTGCTGTCGATGCTATCCACAGACATCCACGATACGGAGTATACCATGTTCTACCTTCTTCCCTGTTTAGGCAAATAATACAGAGGAACTTAACGAGCATACATATATTTAAATAAATTTTAATGAGTTATAAAATCTTTAGTTGATTAAGAGATGAGTTGATCCCATAATTTACCAAAAGCATATTCCTACTATTTATAAAAATATAAATAGATGTGAAATAAAATATAGTGAATATTCCGAAAATTTAAATTGAAAAGAGGTGATAGATATAAGACTCAGGAATCAATCTACATGATTTACAACCATTGACTAAGTGGATCTATTGAAAATTCAAACAACTTGCTTGATGCCATCATGGTGAACGAGAACAACCAAATATATTGGATACAAAATTGCAGAACGTTTTAGTAAAATCTGAGAACCATATAGTAAATAGTTCATTTGCATATTGTCAATCAATTGTCTCAGACTTCATTGTTTCTTCGCTTCCACAGCAATCATTCTCTGTTTTCGTTCTCTTTTCTCCTATTTTCTCAACCTTTTGCCTCCAAGCATTCCACTCCCGATTCATGACAAATACTACTTGTATCTATCAACATCGGTAGCACACACCGTATCATAACTAATGCACAACGTTACACAAACCGGAGCATGGCGTCCAAACTGCTTAATTAGTGCATAAATAAAATAGAATAGTAACTGATATTTTTATATGAATTATGATGGATTATTCTTTTCCCAAACCACTAGTCAAATAGAAATTAATTCTACAATTTTGATGAAAAAATCAATCTGCCTAACTCCAAAGAAAAATATTTTAAGGACTAATCTATGAATCATGTCTGATTAGTAAACAAACTGGTTTTTGAATGACTAGCATTGTATCAAAGCGTTTGCATGTGAATAAATTTTTTTGGAGAAAATACCATACATTTATATTAGTAGTAAAACAAAAATTGGCTTAAAAAATACATACGAGGACTTACATCTTGATTCCACGTACTAATAATGAAGCCCAAGGTTGATGAAGACTTAAACAATAACCTTCATCAACAAGTTGTCTTGACTCATCATCTTGTATTCGTAAAAGAGAGGTTGATTGACTTAATGCCATAACGACAGGACTTTGATCATTATTTGCTGTATAGTTTTTGCTATCCATAGATTGAGGTATAAACTACAAAAAAAGTGATTTTCACAAATTAGTAGAGTTTTGACATTAAAATGAAATCTTTGTAAAAATGTAGTGTGTAACTTGTATTTTTAAAAGTAATAAAGTCATAGTCATACACAATGTAGTAACAAATAATCTACTGAAGTAAACAATTACCAGGAATAAAAACCATATCAGCAGTGTGCTTGACTATGCAATTTAATTTGACGAATGTTTAACTGATGTATATATGTGTTACATAGCTCAATGAATCCCGTGTATATTTCTAGTATAGATGATTTTGAATGAATAGAACTAGCTATATCCCATACTTAGACCCAGACAATACAGAAAGAGAAGCTTGATAATAATCAAAAAATTTATCACGCCCACCTACGAAAATTGATTATTAGTCAGGCAGTAGGGTGACAATAAAGAGTACTATGACGTTAGTTATTATTAAATGAAATAATAACTATGACGCCAACAAACGTGCAAACTACATTGCATAACGATGAAAACAATAAAGAGAACAGATGAGTAGGGAGATTCGATATGGGGAAATACGAAACTCGAAATCTGAAAGTGATAACTACAAAACAGCAAGTAATGAAATATTATTTTGGAAGGATTTGAGTACCTTCAAAAGTTTAAATCGAGAAAAATGAGTCAACTTACAGTAGGCAATGTTATTTCACTAATATTTGAGTTAACGGTCTTCTGACTATCTCTGAAAGACTGATTAGCATTTGAAATATTTGGAGATTCACGAAGTTCATCCATTTCTTCTTGACTTGGATTGTACAATTTAACAGCTGCTTCATCTCTTGTATCCTTACAAAGAAATAAAGTGCAATTATAATAACGCTTCTAAAAAAATTACAATGTACAACCACTGACTGAGACCGTTTCATAAAAACTTTTATAAGCTCTGTGAAGAGACTGTCTAAACATTTACATAAACCCTGAACCAAACCCTCCACTAAATACTGAAGACAAAGAAGTTCCATGAAGCATACTTTTGGAAATTAAGACATTTACAGCTTTGACTACAGTTATTGAAAGTAAACAAATAGCCACGGTATAAAGATTGGAAGAGAAAAAAGCCACTTAAGAAAATAAAACATACCAAAAGAGTAGCAGTTCTACAGGGCAATGATTTTTGCATGATAAACTTGCCAGTGGATTTTAGTTGGACAAAATACCAAATCTCTTGTTCGTGCGTTTTAGGAGTTTCCATCCTAGTTTGCCTTTTTTCTTACCATAGCGTTTTACTCAATATCCCATAGTTACACCCCAGAACTTGAGGAAACGTTTAGATTTCGTTGAATATGTTTATTGAGTCGTCTTTAACTAATAAGGCTCTCTGTTGATAAAATATTATACGGGATCGCATGGTTAGTAGTCGTGTGACATTCAAATAGGCTTTGGAGAGTTGTCAGTGTTCTCTTCTTTGGTAATTCAAAAACAAAAAGCTTGAATGTGTCTATGAAGCTTTCCACTTTGTCACTGAATTGCACATGATAGAGTGGTAGATAAATATGCTAATTAGTGATGCCATTTGATTGGTATAAAAATTTTCAAGCAAACGGGGATAATTTACGGATGGATTCGTTAACACACTATTAATTGCAGTTCTGAGTTTGCTGGACTGGTGGGTTATGAAGTGATAATTTTTGTATGGGACTGATTTACACTGACCGCATCGATTTTATTTGTAATGAGTACAATCTGAAAAACCGTCATGATCCCAAATCCTAACATTAGGGCATTTTTGTTGTAACAAGGACCTGTGCTGTATGGTATAGGACATAAAATGTTGGAGGCATTCAAGACAGACATGTAAGATACTAACTGATTCGGAGTAATGCAAACAACATTTCATGCTAAACTACACAGAGATACTGATAAAGCTGACGCGATGTTATGCTTCAAACTGAATGGTCGTCCATACCCTTCAATTTATCCTGTATTTTAACAGCTTTTCTGATTATTCCATTTTTAATTACCAATAAACCCATAATACAGTGCTAGGACACTACATGTCTCACGTTACTAGCTGCATATCAGAATCAGTAGGGTTTCCTCAGAGTGAGCATTAAAAATAATAACAACACTTGTGTTTATGCAAACAAGATCAACCCAATTTTTTATCTCTCACAAATGAAAATTCTTATAAAAATGAGAAAAATATATCAGATGAATCAAATGATAAGAAATTTTGTTAGATGCTGAATTCCATAGTTACCCTTTATTCACTAATGAGATTCTTAATGAATTTGACGAAAATCTTTCAGAAGAACCAAACTCTGATGACCTAAAATCAAACGTCCTTCTTCATCACTATCTAGTCATTTCTAGTGAATTTTCCATTGAATGCGAGGAATATGTTTTAAACAAAGCCATATTAATTATAACTTGGGGATATGAGGATCCAACATTATTTCGTGGAGGAGGAAAATGATGGAAATTTCAAGTTACATATAATTTTTTTTTTAAATCAGGATCCAAACTTCGAATCTTTAAAAAGAGGGAGGTGTTATATCTTAGTGAAGACATAAGTACGGGTAACTTTCAGGACCTATTAATGGACGATTATATATAAATATATATATATATAAATATATATATATATATATATATATATATATATATTCTTATTGTTTAACTATTGAGTAATTAGGTTGTGTATATCTATATTCATCTTATTATAAACCTCAATCTGACCTATGGATTATTATTATACGATTTACTGTTCCTGAATTATACTCAGTTTAATGATTACTGTCTCCCACGCTCATAGCCACATTTGGCTTGATCTTGTACAAGCATTTTCTATTTTACGGTGTCTGTTTGGTATATAAACCAAGTATGCTTGAAATAAATGATTCGCATAACAGAAGCTGCTATTGGTGTTCTGGACTGAACTGGAAGGGTTAGGTGGACAAAAGACCAATAAGGACGCTAGGCTGCTCATAGCGGTCGGACGTCATTTGTTTGGCACAGTGCTAAGTTAGGATAAGTTGTATTCTGATTAGTGATTAAATCACATGATAAAAACCGGACATAAAATCACAACAATTTGGCGACGGCCTCTTTTAAAATCCAAAACAAAAATAATTATCACTATGACAATAGGAGAACTTGTTTATAGACTGAGTTATTTACTTACTTACTTACTTACGCCTGTTACCCCCAATGGAGCATAGGCCGCCGACCAGCATTCTCCAACCCACTCTGTCCTGGGCCTTTCTTCCTAGATATATCCAGTTGTTGTTCACTCTTCTCATATCCATCTCCATTTCTCGGCGTAATGTGTTCTTTGGTCTTCCTCCTCTCCTTTGGCCTTCAGCATTCCATGTGAGGGCTTGCCTTGTGACGCAATCGGGTGATTTCCTCAATGTGTGTCCCATCCACTTCCAGCGCTTCTCCCTGATTTCTTCCTCCGCTGGATGGAATCTGGTTTGTTGTCTCCCACAGTAACTTGTTGCTGATAGTGTCTGGCCATCTGATCCGAAGTATCTTGCGTAGACAACTGTTAATAAACACTTGTATCTTCTGGATAATGGCTTTCGTAGTTCTCCACGTCTCCGCCCCATACAATAGAACTGTCTTGACATTTGTATTGAAAATTCTAACCTTGGTGTTGGTTGACAATTGTTTTGAGTCCCAGATGTTCTTCAATTTTAGATATGCTGCTCTTGCTTTGCCGATCCTCGCCTTCACATCTGCATCTGACCCACCGTCTTCATCAATGATGCTGCCCAGATATGTAAAGGCTTTGACATCCTCCAAAGCTTCTCCGTCAAGTATGATTCGATTGATGCATATTGTGTTGTATCAAAGAATCTTGCTTTTCCCTTTGTGTATGTTGAGACTTACTGCTGTTGAGGCTGTTGTTACACTGGTCGTCTTCTCCTGCATTTGTTGTTGTGTATGCGATAAAAGAGCCAGATCATCTGCAAAGTTTAAATCGTCCAGCTGCATCCTAACTGTCCAATGTATCCCATGCTTCCCCCCAGATGTTGACGTCTTCATAATCCAGTCAATCCCTAGGAGAAAGAGAAAGGATGAGAGTAAGCAACCTTGCCTGACACCGGTCTTTACCTCGAAGGCACATAGGTTGCAAATCTCTCACCATTCTCGTTTCTTTCTCCCAGTCCCCATGATTTTTTCATATCCAGTGTTGTCCATTCTAACCTTGGCATTTAGGTCTCCCATCAGAATGGTCAAGTCCTTTGCTGTGTATTTCTCGACGATTGACTACAGCCTATTGTAGAATTGATCTTTAATGTCTTCATTGTAATCGTTGGTAGGCACATAGCATCGGATGATACTCATTGTAATACCCTCTCTCTTTGTTTTGAAAGAGGCTTCGATGATCTTAGGTCCATGAGATTCCCATCCTAAAAGTGCTTTTTGTGCTTGTTTGGATAGCATCAATGCAACTCCTTGTGTATGTGGAGCATTTTCTTCTTCATGGCCGAAGTATGACAGCAGCTTCCCTGAAGCTAGTCTTTGTTGTCCAACCTGCGTCCAATGTGTTTCACTGATTTCAAGCACCTCCAGGTTGTACAATTTCATCTCTGCAGCAATTCGGATGGCTCTCTCGGTCTCTCACATTGTACGAACATTCCATATACCTAAATTAATGGTTTCTCTGGTTGTCAGAAGAGGCATCAGCCTCGTGACTTCCGAAGGAACTCGGCTTTCACCATGAGGCGTCATAACTCTTCTAAATGAAGACCTTCTAACCCTCAGGGCAGAGTTTAAATGGTCGGAATTATTTTTTCTGGTTAGTGTTTTTTAGTGAGTTAGTTTTCTACGGCATGGAGTCTCTAACCCCATGTCCAACCCTCCTCCTTTATCCGGGCTTGGGATCAGCATTAACCTCAGAGGGGCTCCAGGCGGAGTTGAAGGGGCAGATAGTCTAGAATAGTTTAAAAATTCGAAACTTCATCTAATTTCGCAGATTAAGGATAATTTGAGTCTTTCATGTGAAGTATTATATCAGTAACTAAGCAGTAAGATTAAATCATCATAGTAAAGATTAATTATGTTAAAGTTGAAAACAATGAGTTCATTAGAACAATTTAAGGAGCCGACGTTCATAGTGTAACCGTGATTTATGTAAGTGTCCCGTCCTACTTTGATGAACTTTTCGCAGGTGAAATTCAACATTAAGCCTATTAGACAGAAATGAGCCTATCAGTCAAAACTCAATAAGAATAACTCAATCAACACAAAATTAATAAGAAATATTGATAAACTTCATCAAGAAGGATGAAATTTTGTTTGAAGAAGGAACATATAATTATTTATATATAATATATTTTACTGGAATAATCTCATGTGTTATAAGTACATACTAACCTCTTTTATAACATCACATTTGTCTAGGTCAATACACATACGTGCAGACTGGAAACGATGTGTATGTCTTTGAGCACGTAATTCAATTACGCGCCGAGCTATCCTCTCACGAACTTCAAGACTTAACCATGCAGCTGATCCAACGCCACCCTCTGTTGCGAAATAATCTAATTCATCATCAATAACTCTAGTTCGTCTAGCACATGTGGTATCAAACTCTAGAAGTTTATCACGTTTACATAACGCATTTATTAGACCTAAAATTAGATTATAAGGGTAGGAAAGAAATGTAAATCTCTTCTATTAAAATGGAGAAAAAGAGGTATACTAAGAATGGAATAAATTTCATTTTTAAGTATAGAAACGACTGTTTATGATGAAACCATATTTAAAATAGCATCATACATCCTTCAATTATAGAGTCATAAATATATGGAATAAATAGCATCTACAAATTTGACTGCATTTAAAACTACTTTTTTACGATATTAGGATAATACTCATACAGAAACAACCCTTCTCATGAACTGGCCTCTGAGTTCACGTCAATTCGTAAATGAGTTTAAGGAAAACATATATCTGCCCTAATAACTTCAATGAAGCAATATGTATCGTAAATTAAGTGTTCACGTATTACTCAGCTCATCTTTTTAATTGATCTCTACAATAGTTCCATCAACTGTTTGTCCTAAAGTAATTTTAAAAATTGAAATGGCTTGTATTTTTCGACAATCTAAAATATATTATAACTTTCCCCCATATCATTAAACCAATTTTCAATCAATAAAAATTGATATGTATGTATAGTATGACCCTACCAATTTTCGCATAGGGTGTAAGGATTATGAGAATAAAATGTCAATAATCAACCTTAGGCTGTCTCAGTAACAAAAATGGACAGTGTAACTTACTTTTTGATTATAATTTAATCGGGTTTAGGATATTTCTTATCTTTTAACTTGTAGTTTGGGAAAAAATAAACGTGTAAAAACATACACCCATTAGGAATATTTTGAGCTTGTAATGAATCATATCACATGGTCAACTAACTTGCCTTGTTCCAAACGAATTTGAGCTCCTTGGGCTGACTTTTTTATTAGGTCATTGTCATCGGTATCACTTTCTAGTCCATCATTTGAATTAGAATCAACAGAGATTATTTCACCACTTGATTCTTGTTTTGATTTCTGAGCTCGACGAATACGTCGATAATATGGAGTTTCAGTGCCAGGTGCCCACGCTGCTTGCGACAGTTTATTGCGTAGTTTCTGACTATGTTTAGCAGTTCCTTGTGATAATTGGTATTCCTCGTCTACTGTACAAACAAGATTTCCACAATAATAGCATGGACCTGAACCTTCCTGTGCACAGACTATACGACCGCAATTTAAACAGTTGTTGACTAACTGATGCTTAGTTGCCAAACACTGACAAGGATGCCGACCAGGTAAGAGCGAAACAAGTTGATCACCCTGAGCTCCTTCACAAAATAATGGATAGAACTTGGTTTTTTGCTTTCCCTTTTTAGCAGTTTGTGATGATAACTGCTCTACATCAACCTACATCATCCAAAGAGAAAATGGATTTATGAGGGGATGTATATTTAGAAATAAGGACAATTATTACTAACGCAAATTGGTTTTCCGGACATCTATTCTCAACACTATTGGTGAACTGATGAAGAATGAAGCTTCGGTAAGGATACAAAAATAAGTTTTTCTCTTTTCCAACCAACGGAATCTGTACGATACGATAAATACCAGACCTTATATAGGAAAGCGAATGTACTTCACAGCAGTTCGCTGTGCTTTATTCTACAGTTGTGGAACATAATTATTGTGTTGTTATGAGATTTTCAATAATTATTTCGGAAGATTTGTTAAACAACGGGGGAACCACTGAGAGACCCGAGTTGAAGTTTAGACCAACGTAAACAGATACCATGTGGATACTGCCAGGCACAGAAATTAGGAAAAAGTTAGTGATAATCAGATGGATATACGACATCAGGCTAAGAAACTACTTGGACATGATCTGAAGTGTATATGGAGTAGAGACCTAAATAGAGTCCATGAAACGATCGTCTGCAATAAGATTGTTGATGATATTCTATCTTAATTATTGGTCCACTGAAATCTTGAGTGTAAGTTTTGCTGTCAACTGCTAACTAGCAAAAAATAATCGCATCTAACAACCTAATTTCCTTAAAGTGACAAATAGAATATTCTGATTAGTATTACTATCCGTGAAACCTACACCTAAACGCTCTGCACATTTTTTATGGCAAATCCGAAATACGGCGTTCTATGTATTATTATGACGAAAATGTGCTACCTTACCATTTCAAGTCACCAAACAATTAGAAACAGGCTAAGTTGCTTAGTGAAAAGTAATGGGTCGAAAATAAAACATTGAGTGAATGAGAGACTGATTTGGATTACATTAAGGTTACAGCACACTTTATAACCGGTCACTGAAAGACATAATTGCTATCTCAACACAAATGAAGTGGTTTTCATTCTGTTTATGTCTGATATATGAGGCATTTTATGAAGTAAATTGTCGCATTTAATGGACAAAACGGTGGCAATGATTTAGCAGTGCCTAAAGCAGATATTAGGTTATTTATTTATTTATTTATACACATAAATATTGGTACAAGGAAGCACCAGATAAATATGCGCATCACAAATCTCATTAGATTTGTGTGAGGGCTGTGATACTGCCCAGGTGCCCAGACTGAAGCAGGTGGTTTACTTAGGGGGCCACACCCGGAGCCTTTGACCTGAATATCTGATCCACAAGGCAGTGGGGAGCATCGTGAGGAGATGCAGTCCCATGTTAGCCGTTGACCAACGATTGGTTCATACGCCATTTGTTTCTTCAGGATACTGGAGCTCATGTGCACCATTGGTTTGGAATCAGGGTTTTCCAACTCCCCTAGGTGGACCCTCCGTGTCCACCAACCCGGTTAAAGCGCCGGACATTTGCTTTTCGTCCTCTCACTTTCGTAAACAACACCCCCGTCACGAGAAGGCAGTGAGTAGGACTTCCCTAGCAGAGGCTATATATTCGCGTGGCCATGTGAGAGCATTTTGAGAGGGAGAGCGGACTCTTCCCACTCTCGGCCGTACTAGGGCATTTGGGGGCGGATATTAGGTACTGCAGTGAATGAGAACACAAGTGGAGACAATTGAATATATTTCAACACAAAATTACTGAACGTCTTAGTAAAATCTGAGAACCATATAGTAAATAGTTCATTCGCATATTGTCAATCAATTGTCTCAGACTTCATTGTTTCTTCGCTCCCACAGCAATCATCCTCTGTTATTGTTCTCTTTTCTCCGATTTTCTCAACCTTTTGCCTCCAAGCATTTCACTTCCGATTCACGACAAATACTACTTGTATCTGTCGACATCAGTAGCACACACCACAGAACTACAAAATTACCTTAATTTAAAGAAGATAATGAGATTGTTCGTGTATTACAAGCCGATGCATAGTGTGCGGTCGCTACAAAATATATTTTTCCAAACAATATATATATATATATATATATATATATATATATATCCACATATTAAGCATAGACTGATGTTTATGATTTTCATATCACAGCCTGATTGTTACGGGTATGGAAATAAAAGTGGACTAGGTTTTTTGTTACCTCAAAATTTATATTTCCTTAAAGCAACGTATTGACGGCTTTTATGTACTTGGTTTTATGTAACACTTTCGTTGCGACAGGTGTCGAAACTAAAACAGGTAATACAGGGTTAGAAGCTTAGATCTGATTGTCAAAGGACATGGTTAGCTACTAAACAACCATCTAGTCAAAACAAAGAAATTGTTACGCATGGTGTAGATGATAAAAATAGTTACGATATGCCACATGGCATTTAATGTAAGAATTATGTTATTTAAAAATAAGACAAACCTTTTCTGAATCTGAAATCTTGTCGGATGGTGTTAATGTACTATTCAAAACACCTGCAATACAATTAGATTTACGATAACCCTAGGAGGAAAAAAAGTATATTTGAAGTGAGGTTAAATTATTTGGCACACGATAATAACTGGAGTTCACTTTATAAAAACGATGTTTAAATCATTTTATAGTTTACATACAGTACTAGATACAGACAGCCATCGCGGAATATCCAGAACGAGTTATTTTCCTAAATAACGATTATATGAGCAAAGCTTTCCACATCGCACTAAGAAAGCGATTTCGACGAATTTTCCACTGAAACATTTGCTGGTTAGCAACCCAGCTGATAAAACAGCCTGATCAAGAACGCATGATGCTATACAATTTGTGTAAATTATATCAAATGCATGTTATTTCTTTTCATATGTATACGATCAAAGTATATACCGAAATAGAGTAGACCTTTCGGTAGCAAACTTCACTTTCAATAAAACTGTGATTAGATCGATGCAAACATATCCAAGTTAAAGCCAAAGTGAGTATAACATGTTTGGTATTCTTGGGCTTGACGTCATTAGATAGTGTTAATCACGCCTTTTTCGTAGCTATAGAGATTTCCCTATCTTATTCAATGGTACTGAACGCTATCAATCCAATAAGGAATTCCTTACAAACATTTTGAATACTTCTAGAGATCACTTGCTAAAAACTGCTGACCAACCGTCTACTAGGTTTGCTAGTTCCATTCAATTAGGACTCAGGGGCCAACAACAACACCCTGTAGAGACTGAGACTTGACGCACTGCAACTGAAAGGCACCCAAGGACAAATTAGAAGGCTTCGTAAAACATTTATCTTTCGGTTATTCAGTTTCGGATTCTTTTTTACCAACTACCTCTACCAATAAACCATCACCGGCACACTATTTCATTTTTTGCATATCAAATGTTTCCACACATCTCAAGCGCTGTACCGAAGATGGATTAAATATTAATCTTTGGCTAACAAACATTTTGCTGCATACACGTAGGAACACCGAATAAACATTTCTTTATTTTGATCGAGTTCAAATAGTTTTTATGCCCTTGCTCATCATATTCATAAGATAACCATGACAGTCTGTTGTAAACTCCGATAACAAAACTTTAGAAGTATGGTTATTTTTGAATGACGTGAATTTGCACGAAATGTATTAATGCCATGATTTCGTTGGTTAGATAAAGCACTGTCATTATTACCTAATCATCTAATGAATATCATGGAAGCCTCTTTCCAAATACCAAATTCTTTACAATTAATTTGCCTGGAGCTTTGAGACTGATTCCTCCGACTGGAAACGTATAAATAAACTTACTACGGGAAGAGACAATAGTAAGTAAAAACAAATTCCTTGTGTCATTATGTGTATACATAAATAGTAACTTTTCGTCAACATTTCGTATTTCACTGATGTTTACCTGTACAAACTATTTTTGTTTGTTTGTAACCCAGTACCATTTACATTCCAGAAAAACAACCGGTGAAATTTTGTGCTATCTTTATATCTAGTCTTTTTTGTTGTAAACGTGAGTGGGTTAGCTGCGCTCGCTGATCTAGTGGGTTAGATGCAATCATAAGTGAAATATATAATCAATAGTCTATTAACCGAGACACACAAATGCATTCACTTTAATCAAATGCTTAAAATACCATTGCACAGAATCTCTATTGAAAATTAATAATAATAATATATATAGCCCCTAAATACCCTGGTACGGCCGAGAGTGGGGAGAGTCCACTCTCCCTCTCAAAATGCTCTCACATGGCCACGCGAATATATAGCCTCTGCTAGGGAAGTCCTACTCACTGCCTTCTCGTGGCGGGGGTGTTGTTTACGAAAGTGAGAGGACGAAAAGCGAATGTCCGGCGCTATAACCGGATTGGTGGACACGGAGGGTCCACCTAGGGGAGTTGGAAAACCCTGATTCCAAACCAATGGTGCACATGAGCTCCAGTATCCTGATGGAACGAATGGCGGAAGAATCTGTCATTGGTCAACGGCTACCATGGGACTGCATCTCCTCACGATGCTCCACTGCCATGTGGATCAGACCTTTAGGTCAAATGCTCGGGGTGTGGTCCCCTAAGAAAACCACCTGCTTCGGTTTGGGCACCCGGGCAGTATCACAGCCCACACACAAATGAATGAAATGATGAACTCTATTGACGATAATATCCCTGGTCATACTAAAAGCAAGACAATTAACATTATTATTATTATTACCTTTATTATTATTATTATTCTATTAATTATTATTATTATTTACCATATCGCTAACTCACCCCCTTTTATCCCCAATTTGTGTAACCTTACTTTTCAACTTATGCAGCAGCTCGCCCATGGTGGAAAATCTGTCCTATCTAAACGATCTCCAGTCACTGTCTGGTTGAAAGTGAATGCTTCCACCGATAATGAATACTGAAGCAGTCTTTCTGAAACCACGTACGCCGTTCAAGCTGGCTTCCTTCAACGTTCGCACACTAATGCATATCAGACAACAGATAGGGCTGGCTATGTCTTTGGGAGGTCTTAATGTTGATGTTTGTTGTCTATCCGAGACCCGTATTCAAGACTCTAGTGAAGTACTACAAATCCGCTCTCCATCTGTCGCCTCGAAGAGCTTGTTCCACGTGCGCTTATCCAAGGACCCTGTGGCATCTTCGTCTGGTCTTGCTGGCGTTGGTGTCGCACTAAGCGCTAGAGCTGAGGCAGCACTAATCGATTGGATCCCCATTAACAGTCGGTTATGTGCTGTTAGATTAGAAAGTTCCATCAAAGTGAGAAGAAATCGGCGTGAGAAACGGTGTCTTTTCATCATCTCCGCCTATGCCCCAACAGATTGCAGCCCGGATGCAATCAAGGATGAGTTTTACCATCAGTTAACAGTTCTCCAGAAAGCGCGTTCGACAGATATTGTAGTACTAGCCGGAGACTTGAATGCACAGGTCGGGCGTCTAGGCACAGAAGAGAGTCGTCTAGGTGGCCGATGGGGACTTGTTGGTCGCCGGACAGATAACGGGGACCGTTTGCTGCAACTGTGCACAGACCACAACCTGTTTCTGGCCAGCACTAACTTCCGGCACAGTCATCGCCGGTGTGCCACCTGGCGTCCTCCCTCTGCATCCCAAGCCTGGACTCAGATTGATCACATCGCGATGAGCTACCGCTGGCGTGGTTGTGTACAAGACTGCCGCTCCTTTTGGAGTACCTATCTGGAGTCTGATCATGCCCTGGTCTGCGCCAATCTCACCTTACTTTTCAGTGGCCGAAGGATTGACCACCACCAACGGATTGATATTAGTAAACTGGCTGCAACTTCCGTTGCAAGTAAGTATCGAGCGGAGCTAGCCTCTAGGCTAGCTACCACCCCACCGAAAAGTATAGATGAGCATTGGTTGCATCTTCACGACGCCATGAAAATGGCGAGTAAAGCCGCTTGCGGCTTCGCGAAACGTCCCGCTTACAAGCACTGGGTTTCTTCTGGCTCCTTACAACTGATGGAAGCCCGTCGGTCTACTCCGGGTGACCGTGAGTTTGACCACAAACGAAGGCTGTTACGTAATGAAATCGGGCAAAGCTTGCGTAAGGACCGGGAAGCCTGGTGGTCGGAGCGTGCTAATGAGATGGAAGCAGCAGCTGAATCTGGTAACTGCCGGAAGCTCTTCCAACTCATCCGAGCCACTGGCAGCAAGAAGTCTGGTGTGAGTGAAACAATCTACGAGGATGACGGGATGCCAATCACTAACATCTCTCGACGTCTTGGACGATGGGCGGAATTTTTCGAAGGGCAGTTCAACTGGCCTGCTGCTCCGGCGACATCAACCAGCTTGTCCTGCTCCCCATGGCCGGTGACGACTGATCCACCAAACGAGGCGGAAGTCCGCAAGGAACTCCAACTCTTGAAACGTTATAAATCACCTGGCCCAGATGACTTACCTCCGGCTCTTTTTAAAAATGGTGGTGACTTTCTGGCTAAGGAACTGACTGCGTTGTTTGGAAAGGTTTGGGAGCAAGAAAGTGTTCCAACATCATGGAATGAGTCAATAGTCGTCCCTATCTTTAAAAAGGGTTCACGTTGTTCCTGTAACAACTATCGGGGGATAAGTCTACTTCGTATTGAGTCCAAACTATTGGCTTCTATCATTCTTCGTAGGTTGTTTAAAACCCGAGAACGATTGACTCGCGAGGAGCAGGCTGGTTTTCGTTCTGGTCGAGGATGCATTGATCACATCTTCACCCTCCGCCAAATGTTAGAACACCGTCATACTTATCGCAGGCCAACAATCGTAGTGTTTCTTGATATCAGGGCGGCCTTCGATTCGTTGGACAGGACTGTTTTCTGGGATTGTCTATTGAAGAAGGGTGTGCCTGAGAAGTTCATTAACATCTTAAAGGCCCTGTATACGAACACCTCAGGCAGAGTGAGGGCATACAACCACCTTTCTCCCTTGTTCCATTCGAGCAGTGGGGTTAGGCAGGGTTGCCCGATCTCACCATTCCTCTTCAACTTTGCCATCGACGACATCCTGGAAACAGCTCTGATGGATGTAAGTAGTGGCGTTGTGGATATGTTGCCTGGAGAACGACTTCTCGACCTTGAGTATGCGGATGATATTGTCTTACTGTGCGATAATGCCCAAGGCATGCAATCAGCACTTAATCAGTTGGCAATCAGTGTCCGCAGGTACGGCATGTGCTTTGCATCCTCCAAGTGCAAAGTACTCCTACAAGACTGGCAGGATTCTCAACCTGTACTCACCCTGGATGGTGAGGAGATCGAAGTAGTTGAGAAATTCGTGTGTCTAGGTAGCTATATAAGTGCTGGTGGTGGCGTGAGTGATGAGATTGATGCACGTATAATGAAAGCCAGAGCGGCTTATGCCAATCTGGGCCATCTTTGGTGCCTTCGTGATGTTAGTCTGGCTGTAAAAGGTCGGATTTACAACGCGTCGGTGAGAGCAGTTTTGCTCTATGCTTGTGAAACCTGGACTCTCCGAGTTGAGGATGTTAGACGTCTCTCTGTGTTCGATCATCGTTGTCTCCGAAG